CATTGTCCAAGTTTATGATCATTTTGCTTGTTGAGCATTTTGCTCGTGAGGACTGACACACACTGAAATTCGATTTTGAGAAACGCTACTGGTATCCGTGACTGTGATTGGTGGAATTCATGGGAATCCTGGTGTGGTGCTGTGTGTTAATGCATTGTACTGCAAAGTCCATTTGAACCACAAGGTCGGTGGTTCAAGTTCAGCAGCCACTCCTTAGAAACCCTATACAGGGTCACTGTGGGTCAGAACTGACTTGATGGCAGTTAACCACAACAACACTGGTATCTTATCCCAGGAAATGGCTCATCTTACTCTTAAAAAATACTAGCTCTGGCCGTGTCAAGGAAATCTTTTTAAAGAAGTTTAGTTTTGTCTCCTACCCTCCGTCTTACATCTGCATGAGTATGCAGTAGACCTGAGTAATTATGGAGAGTTAGATCTGTTTACACATTTCTGTTCGCTCACTCCATCTATAAATTTTCAATGGCAAATTTTCATCTCTATGGACATATGTCAAATAATGTAGTAGTGTTACCAACAATAGAAAAACAAAACAATACATACAAAGCCATCCATAAAACTTGATATCTGGTCCCAAATAAGAAATGGCATAATCAGTTATGGCATACGATTGAGATGACATATTATATAATCATTAAGTGATAATTAAGAATACTGCATAGAGACATGACAACATAGGATATTATTAAAAGGGAAACAGAAAACACATGATTGTAATATGTACGCCATGTATACAAGGGGCACTGGTAATGTAGTGGTTAGCAGTTGGGCTGTTAATCTCACGGTCAGCAGTTCGAAACTACCAGCTGTTCTGCAGGAGAAAGATGAGGCTTTTTCTTCCTGTAAAGATTTACAGCCTCAGAAACCCTGTACAAGGCTTGAACTATGAGTCGGAACCAACATACCCACCACTACCACCACTATGTGTACATGTGGCGGATACCTCAAAGATCATATACTACAAAAGGAATAGTTCTTTTAGGATGGTGGTGTGGTGGCCTACAGAGAGGAGATATTGATAAATGCATAGGCAAAGTTTGGATCTTACACAAAAGGAAAAACATTTAAAATAATAAATCTCCCTTTCTTATATTTGCCAGTTTAATGGATGTTAAGGTCTATAGTATTTAAAACATTTTCAAAAGAACTGGCTAGTGGACTTTGGAAGAGAATCTGAATTTAACTATATCTGAATTTGTTTGTCATGATGATTGTAGAGGAATTAACATTTAAAACTGTTGTCTAAATATGTTCCAGCTTGGGAATCTTGGCTGAATACACATTCATAAGTGAAGAAACAGTTTGGAAAAGAACTTACGTAAATAAGAAGTATGAATAAAGAGAAATTAAGTAGAGAAGATTTTTAAAATAAAGTAACTGTTTTTAAAATCTAGTTGAAATGACTATATGGATTAACAAAATAAGGTAACTGATGCATACTTTAAATTCTGTCTGGAAATTCTTAAATGCTACTGGACACATGTCCTCATGTCTATTATGCTAAGATCAATAAATTAACTATTGATTTGAAAGATCTGCTGTATTGTTCTTTAGGGGCTCAGATAGTTTTCTCTATTTTCTTTTCCTTCTACCTCTGTTCAAAAGAGGGACAATTTTACCCTGAATAGTATCTACAGCGTTTATTTGGGGTACCAGGTTGCCTTGCTTCATATTAGAAGGGCAATGCTTAATTTGGGATGTAACCCTCTCAGTCTAGTATTTGCAATTTTTTAAAAAGCACAACAGACTATTCCTTCAAATGCATTCATAGGTATATTAAAGATCTATCTCAAGTAGGGGAATGTAAGGAGAAAACAGAAAACTGATATAGGTTTCTTCTAAAATAGAACTTGAAAATGTGATAATATATCCTGTATCACTGAATTAGTCGTTGATCCTGGATTTGTAAAATTGGAGTGTGTATGGATGCATATGTGTGTGTTATAAATATGAAGGTGCCTGAGCTGGTGCCAAGAAATCCAGAAGTAACCTTTCCAAACCCACTTAATGCTAGGACCATCTCTTTTCCAACCTTGTATAAGGTTTGATGAGCCTCTTTGAGCATTTCTCTCCAATGTCTATCTTCTCACTACTGAAGATTTGCTTAGTGGCAACCATAGTAGAGGAAGTTTTTATTTCTAAGAGTTATCCAATAATCTTTACCTTCATAGAAATATGAATTTCCTCTTTGAAATGCATTGTTGTTGTTGTTGTTGTTACATGCCATTGAATTGACCCTGTGAAGTGCAGTCAGAGTGCTCCTTGGAGGCCAAGATGGCCAAACTTTGTCTCTAATACTTAGGACATATTGTCAGGAGGGACCAGTCACTGGAGAAAGATATCATGTTTGGTAAGGTGGAGGAGGGTCAGAGAGGGAGAGGAAGACCTCCAACAAGATGGATTGGCCAAGTGGCAGCATTGATGGACTCAAACGTGGCAACAATAATGAGGTTGGCCCAGGATCAGGCAGTGTTTCATTCTGTTGTGCCTACGGTCGCTATGGGTTGGTACCAACTTGATGGCACCTAACAACAACAATAACAAGGTTTCCAAGGAGCCACCGGTGGGTCCGAACCATGAACCTTTGGGTTAGTAGTCCAGTGCTCATCATAGAGCACCACACCAGGCATAAGAATTATTAATAGATATTTGATTTCACAAAACTGTTCTTTCCCCCAATCTCAGGACCAAAGTAAATGTATTAGATTACCTTGGGCTATACCAACATTAAAAACGTTCTCTTCAAAAAATATTTGACTCCTAACATCTTTACTTCATTCTATTCAGAGATCTATTTTGGTGAATAAATAATATTTGATAATAAAACAAATCTGCTTTCATATGTGGGGGCTTCAAAAACTTCATGGAAAAATTCTATGATCTTTTCATTCCATTTACCCATGAACTTTCTGAAGTCCTCTCAAACATCTACAAAATTCTTTTGTGTAGTAGCAGGGATTCAATCCAAGTTGCATCATTGTTAAAATGAACTGCAGAACTTTGGCATACATTTTATTTATTTATTTTTTGATAATTCAATTCTTGGCAAAATACAAAGTGCCTTTGACATGATATCAGAGAAGATTAAAACTGAGTTGAAGCACGGAAATAATCTTGTGTAAATCAGCCATCCTCTTCTGATGACATAGAGTAGGAAAGTGAGGTCTAAGAAGATGAAATTCGCCCATGGTCATACATCTCATTTCTGATATTTAAGTCTTACTAATAAAATTATAAACTTTTCAATTTGATTTTAAAATTGTGATTTTTAAAAAAGGGCATGATTACAAAGAATGAACAAATTTCTACACTTGCTTTCCTTAAAATTGCAGAGTTGGAACTGAAATACACAAAATAATGATGCCCCCAATTTTTGTCCTCAATTCCCTTTTTTAGAGAACATAGTTGAAATGATCTTTTCATTTACAATAATCAGTTTTGAAGACCTCAGAATTACTCTAATCTTCAAGATGAAATTGATCATCACATCTATATATCATTCAATCTTTCTCTTCAACAAAGATTAAGTGCTATTCTGCTGAATGCCCTTCTTACTAAGGAAGTGAAATAGGAAACACTTCTTAGTATCCCATTGTATTCCTTTTCCTTCACAGCAAAACAGTAAGAACAAAACAAAACAGATCTCTGGGTTGTAATAGTCACTGATCAGGTGAATTTAATAAAATCTAGATTTAGTTAAGCCTAGTGGGATTAACTGTTTCATTGGCATTTACAGTCTGTGGGGTTATTGAACAGCTGTACAAATAATGACATTTCCAAAGGTTTGATCATTGCATTCATGCAAGTTCTGCATAAAATCCACTGTATTGATATTATAGTCTTCAGACTTTAAAAACATAAAACCCAAAACCCATTTCTATCAAATCCATGCCAATGCAAAATGACCTAGGATAGAGAGGAACTGCTCCACAAGGTTTCCAGGGTTGTAATCCTTATGGAAGCAAATGTCACATCTTTCTCTTGTGGAGCATGGTGGGTTTGAACTGTCAGCCTTTTAGTCAGCAGCTAAGATCTTCAATCTTTGTGCTACCAGGGCTCTTTTAGCGGTATATAGGAATAGTAATGACCAAGATGTGTCTTCCAGAAATGGTAAAGACACTTGGATGTATATATATATTCATCATGTTGGTCTGATGAAAGCAGGTTCTAAACTATGAAAATATTTCATCAAGTCATTTTGTACCTGATGAGGAAATTATACATGAATGATAGTTATTGTTAAAAACAAACAAACAAACACTTCTGATAACGAAGACTCAGTAAATCAATTTAAACGAAGAGTTTAAGAAGTAATATAGCCATCTAAAAATGGTTAATCATTCTGTGTAGCTGATCACACTTTAATTTGAAGTTCCCAGTTTTGACACAGTGCCATAACTCAATTACATAATTCAGCTGTCTTTAACTCCCCCCTCTCCAAAGCTCATCCTTCCTAAGAAGAGATATACATGTTCTTTCTGTCTTGATATGTTCTTTAAGCAAAGATCAAGTGTGAAAATCTTTTCACCAGGCAAACATCATTTCACATATATTTAAAAAATTTTGATATTTTTTTTCTTTTCATTTCTTCATCCCTATGGCTAGCCCCTGTATGCTTTGACACCTAATAGCTGAAGTTCATTCTACATTTATTTTGCTTTTGGCAGGTGCTGGATAGCACTTTTTGGGTTATTTCACAAAACATTCAACATTTAAATTGATAAAAAGCTCTTGGAATTCCTATTCCTTTTCTACCCACTGCCTGTTATAGTGTTCCTGACCCTCCTCATCCTTCCCTAAAATGTGTCCCCAGCATGCCTATTTACATGGCTTCCAGGCACTCACTGGGGGTTTGCACATCCATCACATACCAGACCAATTTCTAACTGTGCCGGGCTGTTGGAGCAAGGCAGTTTCCTTCCATTAGGTGCTGGGTGTAGTCATATTTCTATCAACACAAGGACCCTTGTATGCAAAGTTTAGACTATTGTCTCATGGTCCCACCTGCCTTGGCTCTGATTGATATAACAACAGTATCTGTCATAGGGGCTCTTTTGCTTGTAGGAGCAAACGATGATACTGTCCTGCGGCACAAAGAAAATACTGTCCTCAGGCTCAGGGCAGTCGGACCTGTCCCAGGCTGAGCACTTGGCCTCCAAGGCACTGTAGGCGAGGGAACTGGCGGAAGGGCAATAGCCGTCCAGGTATCTGGACGTCTCCTGATGGGCGCTCTGGACCAGGCTCTGACATTCTCCTTCCTCTTTGGGTGTGGGGATGGTGATGGAGCTGGCGGTCACTTCGACCTGCCCCTGAGGGGGAGGCTTCCCCCTGAGGCCCGCCATCTTAGCCAGTTCATCCGAGCTCCCTTTTCCTGACTCCAGGTCTGAAGGGGTCCTCAGCAGTTCCACCACCTCCTTGTCCTTGGGTTTCCGGAAGCAGGGCAGTTTTCGGACCCAGAGCAGCTCATTCTCAGGCCACTTGGTGCACCCCTCGGTTTTCCTGGCCAGGGCAATGGCCGCGATGCCCGGTAGGCAGATGGCCGGCCCGATGGCCAGGAGAGGGATGTTGCCCAATGTCTCCCCTTTCATCCCAGAAACCGTGAACATGAAGCCAAAGACCAGGAAGACACTGACCAGGGCCACCACCAGCCCAGTCCTCGGGTTAATGTCATCGGGCCGCATCTTTCACTCCATCCAGGTTGGGGGCAGCGTTCCTTCTGTCAGAGCTGAAATCACAGTGGGTTAAAAACCAAAACAAAAAAACCAAGTTAAGTTCCTTCTCACCAACTCGGTTTCTCTCTGTCGGTCTTGGTTCCTGTCTCTCTCTTTTTGCTCTTCTCTCAATCTCTCTCCCCACTTTCTCTTTCTCACTATTTCAACCTCTATTTCGCACATAAACCTTCACCCACTGGGGTCACCGAGGTACCTGAAATTTCCTGCTGTCTTCAGGGTGCAAGGACAGAAGACAGTCTGAGTCCCCTTAGAAACCCACACAGCAGCTGCCCCTCGGCTCGCTCTCTGGTTTCTGGGCTGAAAGCCTGGCTCTCCCCACGGTCTCTGCATCCAGAAGACGGGACGTGGGCGCGTGTAGTTCCCCGCAGCGCCCGTCGGTCCCGGGCAGCCGGAGCGGGCGCTGGAGAAGGAAGAACTCAGTCTGGGAAGAGGGAACGTGGAGCGCGATCCTGGCCCTGTTACATCACATCCAGAGCCAGCTTAGTTACAAACACGGGCGCGCGGGGGCGACAGGGGCTCAGACCCCGAGGAGAGGCCACCAGGGCGGAAGGGGCTGCCCGGGGTTTGCCCAGGGGTGCATCGGTCAGTGGGGGTCCCGGATGCCCGAGAGGGCGGCGCAGGGCGCGGGACCCTCTCCAGAGCGGATGAAGAGTCTGGAACGTAAGACTGCCGCTGGAGGAGACCCGGACCCAGGTCAGGTTGCCCGCAGGACAGCGGTTGAAACGTTGGAGCCTGGGCTCCAGGTGCGAGGGACAGACGTGCCAACTGGGGGCGTCCCTCGTGAGCCGACCCGTTCTCCTCCACTTACAATCTGGGAGATACGCACCGTTCAGACAGTGGCTTCCAGGGACGCTTCCCTCAACCCTGCAGCTCTTGGGGCGCAGATCGCTGCACCCCTCGAGGGGCCCTGGTCGCGGACCGCTCTTGGTTCCGGCTCCGTTGGGCAGTAGCTACGCGCACAAGCGCCTTTGCAGCGAAGGCAGTAGAGCTCCGGAACGCACGGACTTGCGCCCAGGTGGAGTCAGTAGCAAGAGGTGGACTCTGGCCTTGACCCGGGTCTTGGGGGTGTGGGGGGTGTCATCCAAGACGCTACCCCTGCTGGCCTTCCAGCTCCGAACTCGAGAGGAACCCTAATTACACTCCCCCACAGCTGCGGGGGCCAGCCTAGGGAGTCGGGGAGAGGAGGAAAGGTTTCCCGCCTTGTATCCCCCACTCCCACCTCTAGGAGAAGGAGGGGCCTTACGTAGCGGAGTCAAACCCACCACTCCACCAGGCAGCATCGGTTTTGAGCGATTCTCTTCTTCACTGAAGCTCACCTGGAGAACCTTCTCCTTTCCTTTTTCTTTTCTCACAGCGGGGGATGGATTCCTCTGGCCCCAGGGGCAAGACCCAGGTTCTTGAACAAATCTGTGCATTTAGGCTAGAGCGGGAATCACTTGGGACGACAGCAGGGATATCTTCTTTCAGGTTAAGGTGGAAGAACTTAACATCCCACAAACCCTCCTTCCCCACTTAAACCAGCTGTGTTCCTGGGCAGCTGGCTTCACCTCTCTGAGAATCAAGTTGACTCATCTGTAAACAGAGAACATTAGTACCAAATACATAGGGGGAAGAGTGAAGATTGAATCAATTAAAATTTCCTGGCACAATGCTTGGTAGGTACATGGTCCTTGTTCAAAAAATGGTGGAAATATATCAATTCATAGTGAGTCATCTGAATACCTGACCTAAGCCATGGTATTTTTATTAGTCTTATATGCATGAAAGTTGGACAATGAATAAGGAGGAGTGGTAGAAAAATTGATGCATTTGAGTTATGGAGTTGGAATAGAATATTAAAAGTACTATGGACTGCCAAAAAACAAACAGATAGATATGTGTTGGAAGAAGTATAGTCAGAATCCTACTTAGAAACCAGAATGGCCGGACTTCGTTTCTCAGACGTAAGACAGATTATCAGGAGGGACCAATCTCTGGAGAAGGACATCATGCTTGGTAAAGTGAAGGGTCAGAGAAAAAGACCCCCAACAAGATGGGTTGGGACAATGGCAGCCACAATGGGCTCAAGTGTGGCAATGATTGTGAGGTTGGCCCAGGATCGGGCAGTGCGTAAAGTCTCTTTGAGTTGGTACTTACTCAATTGCACCTAACAACACCACCACCACCAAAAGGCCAATCAACCAACCAAAAAAATCCAGTTGTCGAGTGATTCAGACTCATGATGATCCCACGTGGACTGATAGAACTGTGCGCTATTTGGCTTCCTGTAGCTGCATTTTCCATAATGTTCTCAGTGGTGGATTTTTTTGGAAGTAGGTTGTCAGGCCTTTCTTTCCAGGTAACTCTGGATGGGCTCCAACAATACAACACTCTTGCGTTTTGTTGCTTTTACAAACACCATTCTATCCTGGTTTTCCTCCAATCTCCCTGCCACTCTTTTGTGCTGCTTTATAAACTCTATTTTATTTTTAACAACCCCTTTTTGGTCGGTGCTGTCTAGTCCGTTCTAGCTCACAGCGAGCCTGCATAGGGTTTCCCAGGCAGTAAATTTTTACAGGAGTAGAAAGCCTCATGTTTCTCCTGCAGAACGGCTGGTAGTTTTGAAATGCTGATCTTGAAATTAGCAGGCTGACTTGTAACCACTACCAGAGCTCCTTAACAACCCCCTTAGCAATCCTATATAGGGTTTCCGAGGAGCGGCTGGTGGGTTTGAACCACTGACCTTGTGGTTCAAACTGACCTTGTGGTCCAGTGCATTTTCCTGCAGCGCCACACCAGAACTCCTTAGGCATTGATAATTTTTGTTATCCCACTTCCTGTTTCCTCCTCTCCTCTCTTCTTCCTCGTCTTGTAATAGTTTCAAATACCAACTGTATAGGCTGATGAATCCTAAATTTCTCTCTCTAGACTTGTCTTTTTCCCTTAGCCCAAGAGCTATACTATCCAATTATCTGTTTAATATCTCTATCTGTATGGCATATCGATACCTCAAACTGCAAGCTACATTGAATTCATCATATTTCCTCCAACCAAGCCCTTTTCAAGTGGCCCTTTTATCCTCCCATTTTTCCAATTGAAGAACCTGGGAATTGTCTTCTACCCGTTCCGCTCCCTAACTAAATAGACCCCAAACCTTGCTCAAATCATTGCAGCTTTACTTCCTACACCCCTTGATAATCCCTTAGGCAAAGCATTTTTGCATGTCTTGATTTCAATTTCCTGTGAAATAAACATGTAGATGAGGAACTAGCTGAGGTCCAATTCAGCTCGAATATTCATGATTCTCTGCAGTCACTTCTGCTGGGATAGTGGAGGTCAGTGTTGTGCAGGTGCTCTGACAATGGTATTGGAAATCAAGTTAAGTCCTAAAGAAACAAGTTACTCATTCTTGTACAGTCATCTAATTCCATTCTGATTTTTAAGCCATGCACTTCATCTACTTAGATTTCAGATAAGTTCTGTGCATAAAACCACAGGAAACTTCAATTACTGTTTAATTATAAGCCTCATTCTCAAAGCAGTTCCTTCTTGGAAGCAAATTTCTGATGGTCTTTGAACAGCAGGTATACTTGCCCAAGTCAGAAACAAAAGTAGGTGGGGGTGGGATATATCACTCAGGGCCACACTACTTAGAGACAGATTACTTAGAGACAGATAAGACATTACCAGTATTCAATTTCTTGTCTGTACAGGTTGATAGCACTGGGATTTAAAAACTTTAAGCAATTCTTGCACTGCTGTAAGCCTATAGAGTAATGTTCAAAACCTTTTCATTAGAAAAGAAAGGAAATTCAGATTGGAATGAGGCTTTGACATGTGGGTGTTTTGAGAAGGAAATACAAAACATTTTATTTCTGAAGTTATAGGAATCATGAGATGCTAGAATTTGAAGGTAACTTATAGAATATTTACTTCAACCCTCCTAATTGTACAGATGAAATTTAGAAATGTTTCATTCATTCACTATTACTTTAATGCTTATTATATAATTGGCACTATGTTAGGTGCTAGGCGTTGAAGTAACACAAGACATGCTATGATGTGCCTTTATAAAACTCACAATCACAGAGCAAGTAATGGGTACCAGTCAGGATAAGACAGATTATGCTGTGGTAACGTAAGACCCCAACTCTCAATGGCTATGTAAAGCATGTCTATGAAAGGGTTTCCAAAAGTTCTTGTAAAAATTCCATTTTTCCCATAAACTTTTTGTAACCCCCTCATATTATGAGTTAGCTGCAGCCCTGCTCCTTGTCATCTTCACCCTAGAATGCAGGCTGACAGAGCAGTCTCCATTTGGAAAATGCCAGTCTTGTAGCAGAGGCACAAGAAAGGAGGGCAAAGCTTATGCTGGTCATGAAAGCTTATACCCTGGACTTTCTCATCACCCCTATCTTGACGGTTCCTCCTTCTTCTACTTCCTTCCTTGTCCAGCTAAGCTAACCAACATGCTGTAATAGGCTATTAGAGTCTTTGGAACCCTGAAATTGTGACAGAAAAATATTTTGTAGTTGTTGCCTCTGAGACTGGACGCTTCACATTGTGCTGGGGAGATTATCTGGCATCAAAGACCTTATTCCCTGGTGTGGGATCAGTTCCTTCCTGGTTTGACAACAGAAACAGATATGCTCAGAAATAGTGTGATGACCAAACAAAGCTCTGCCTGTTTAAGCCTGGTTCTTCTTTGGACTTTTCATTTCTGTATCTTTCAGTTTGAATTTTCAGCTTTGGGGTCTGGAAATCTATAAGTCTACTTTTTCTCTGTATTGGGGATGCTCTTTTGGTTGCAGTCCAGAAACTCATCGGAGCTAGTCTAAGTCAAGAAAATTAAAAGAGGACTTAACACAATGGTTCTGGAAATTTCCAGAGAATTCAAGGTAAGGGATGCAATTGAGCCTCTGGAAAAAGGTAGAACCAGAGATTCAAATACTACCAGGTCATCCACTCTG